TGCTCCTAGTATATATGCAACTAGTTATATTGACACATCGTTCTTTCTTTTTTGTCAACAGAAACGTGTATGTACACTCGTAGCTTTTATTACTTTATAAAATATTGACTAAGAAAATAGTCAATATTCTCACTGTGTAAACACTATCGTTTAACAAATCCAAGAAATAGAAAAAAGAAATATAAACGCGGAACCCTATCGTCATCATCGTCTTGAAAGAATAGATTATAGACCTCATCATGTCTTTTTCTTTTTCAATATTCTTCTTAAAATATAAGCCATGTTGTTATAATATACTATACCATTTATAATGCTAGGACTTTTGTGTATTTCAATAACTCAAGCAACGTGAAAGGCATCATTATCTACAACTTGTACTACGCAGTATATATATTAACGGACATATCATTGATTCACATGCCAAAACAAAAAAAAACTCATTGCAACTCCTAAATTTCACACACATACCCATCCAAATGTCAAACTCAAGTTTGTATTTGCTCTCACTCGTGTCCATCTTATCCTTACTCATCACTACAACAACCAACTTTGTCACCGCTCAGCGATGTCGTCCCGACCAAACCGAAACCCTAAACCGTTTCAAAAACGAGTTTGCCTTCTCCAGCAGCTGCACCGACGACGCCTACTTCTTACGCGGTGTGACCTGCGATAACGTGACCGGTGCCGTCACCGTTTTAAGACTCCCCGGTGGATGTCTACGTGGCACTCTCAGAGACAATAGTAGCCTCTTCGAGCTAAACCACCTCCGTTACCTTAACCTCTCTTTCAACAACTTTGCTTCTTCTCCTTTACCCTCTGCTTTTGGTCAGCTACACAATCTTGAGGTCTTGCTTCTCTCTTCTAATGGCTTTTTAGGTCAAGTTCCTTCCTCTATACGTAACCTCACAAAACTAACACAGTTACAGCTTTCTCATAATAAGCTCACAGGTGATGTAACCTCACTTCTTCAGAATCTAACAAACCTTGTAGCTTTAGATGTTTCTTCTAATCAGTTCCATGGAACCATACCTTCTTTTCTCTTCACTATGTCTTCCTTGTCTTATCTTGATTTGAGTAATAATAATCTCTCTGGCTCACTTGAAATACCTTTTTCTTTGCCTAATCTCCGAGTTCTCAGGCTCTCTTACCTAAACATAACCCACCAGATTGACTTAAGAATCTTTTCCTCACTCAAATCCTTGTCATACCTTGATCTTTCCGGACACAGTTTAACACCAACAAGTGTGGATTCAGACATAGACTTTGCAGTAACCCTGAAGGTCTTGATCTTGTCGGCATGCAACATAACTGAGTTCCCAAGATTCGTTAAATCTCTAACGAATCTTGAGTATTTATATCTTTCCCACAACAGAATCAAAGGGAACGTTCCTGAGTGGTTATGGAGTCTTCCTTTGACCTCACTGAATCTTTACAACAACTCTTTCACCGGCTTCGAAGGCTCACTAGATCATGTTTTAGCCAACTCATCTGTCCAGGTGCTAGACATGGCTTACAACTGCTTCAACGGTTCGTTCCCTGATCCACCACTCTTCATCATCAACTTATCTGCTTGGAACAATAGCTTCACAGGAGAGATCCCTCTCTCAACTTGTAACAGAACATTTCTTGATGTTCTTGATCTCTCCTACAACAACTTCACTGGCCTAATCCCTCCATGTCTGAGTAACATCAGCATAGTGAATCTCCGGAAGAACAAGCTGGAAGGAAACATTCCAGATGAGTTCCACATCGGTGCTTCTACACAGACACTTGACGTGGGGTACAATCAACTAACCGGGAAGCTTCCAAGATCTCTAGTAAACTGCTCAGTGCTTAAGTTTGTGAGTGTGGATCACAACAGAATCAATGACACGTTTCCCTTCTGGCTCAAGGAACTTCCGGATTTGAAAGTCCTTACTCTCCGTTCAAACAGATTCCACGGTCCTATCTCTCCACCTGATGGTCCTCTTGCGTTTCCTAAGCTTCAGATACTTGAAATCTCGCATAATAGTTTCACCGGAAGGTTACCAAGAAACTACTTTGAGAATTGGACTAATACATCTCTCAAGCCTGATGATGAAGATAAGATGTATATGGGGGATTATTCAAGTGAAAGGTTTGGTTATGAAGATACTTTGGATTTGCAATACAAAGGTCTATACATGGAGCAAGGAAAGATTCTTACATTCTACTCAGCTATTGATTTCTCTGGAAACAAACTCGAAGGAGAGATTCCGGAATCTGTTGGTCTGTTGAAGGCTTTGATTGCTCTCAACTTATCAAACAACTCATTCACAGGACGTATACCTATGTCTTTCGCTAACGTGAGTGAGCTCGAGTCATTAGACCTGTCAAAGAACAAACTATCAGGGGAGATTCCTCAGGAGATGAAGAGGCTTTCGTTTTTAGGGTACTTAGATGTCTCTGATAATCAGCTTACTGGTGAAATACCACAAGGGACGCAGATTACAGGGCAGCCTAAGTCTTCATTTGAAGGGAATCTAGGGTTATGTGGTCTTCCTCTTGATGAAAGTTGCTTCAAAGAAAAGACAACATCGATAGAAGAGACAGAAGAAGAAGGTATGTTGAAGTGGAGAGCAGTGGCAATAGGGTATGGACCTGGAGTTTTGTTTGGATTAGTTATAGGACATGTTGTTGCTTTGTACAGGCCCGGTTGGTTCATCAAGAGTTAGGATCAGTTTGTTTATGCTTATTTATTTTGTAATTTGATCTGTGAATGTGTGCCAAGTTACTCAAAAACATAATTTTGTACGGTTAGTGTTGCCTTAAATTCTTGTTTGAAAGCAGATAAGTTGAAATCACTGACTTGCAACTGTAGAAACATAAGAAACAAACTAAAATGTAACAGCTTACCTATGGACAATCCAAACAAATTTGAACATAAATTTTTCTTTCATAAACTTTTACAAATGGGTTCCTGTCTCTACCTCACACCCTTCTTGATAGAATGATTCATGACCTTTGGAATCCACCAAAGACATTCTTTTCTTCAAACCAAGATTCTTTCGATTCTTCGTTCCTCTCTTAAAGCTGTCTGAAGCTACTTGTTTTACTCAAGATACTTTGTAAGTTTACTTTTGATTTCTGTATCTCTTTTTCATCACTCTCAGAAGTTTATACTCTTGTTTACTTATGTTAAGTATCACCAATTAATTCTGAAGAAGAATTAATTGTTTTCTTATACTATAGCAAAAAAAAAGGATCCCTCAGGCTATATAACAACACACACACAAATTCAAACTTCCTTGGCTCTAAACTCGAGTCTACTTTCAATCAATCATTGGTGAGTATGGTGATATAAGATGTGTGCCAGATTTAGCTTGAGATTGGAGCCCAATAAATTTATTTTGTTTGTCAATAAATTTACCTGGAAGAAATTGCTTCGATTGTCAATAAACAAAAACTCACAATCTAATTTGTTTCTTATGTTTCCATAGTCACATGAATATGTTGTTTGAGATGCAAGTATCTAAGTCAGTGGTTTCAACTACTCTACTTTGAGACAAGAGTGACACTAAACATACATTCAAAGATACAAGAGTAACTTGACGCACATCAAAGATAAGATTACAAAAAAATAAGCATAAACAAATTGATCCTAAAGGCGTCTAATGCCTCTGAGCCTGTTCTGACTATACTTCTTGATGAACCACTCGGGCTTGTACCAAGCAACAACATGACCTATAGCTAATCCAAACAAAACTCCAGGTCCATACCCTATTGCCACTGCTTTCCACTTCAATATTCCTTCTTCTTCTTGGTCTTCTAGCTCTTCTGTTGATGATGATCTGTTTTCAGTGAAGCAACTTTCTTCAAGAGGAAGACCACATAACCCTAAATTCCCTTCAAATGATGATTTAGGCTGCCCTGTGATCTGTGTCCCTTGTGGTATTTCACCAGTGAGTTGATTATCAGAGACATCTAAGTACCCCAAAAACGAAAGTCTCCTTAGCTCTTGAGGAATCTCCCCTGATAGTTTGTTCTTTGACAGGTCTAATGACTCAAGCTCACTCACATTAGCGAAAGACATCGGTATACGTCCTGTGAATGAGTTGTTGGAAAAGTTGAGAGCAATCAGTGCCTAGACCAATAGATTCCGGAATCTCTCCTTCGAGTTTGTTTCCAGAGAAATCGATGGCCGAGTAGAATGTAAGAATCTTCCCTTGCTCCATGTATTAGAGCTTTGTATTGCAAATCCAAAGTATCTTCATATCCATACTTACTCGAATAGTCTCCCATATACATCTTCTCTTCATCGTTCAGCTTGAGAGATGTATTAGTCCAATTCTCAAAGAAGTTTCTTGGTAAGCTTCCTGTGAACCCGTTATGCGATATTTCAAGTATCTGAAGCTTGGGGAAGGCAAGAGGACCTGGACCATCAGGTGGATAAAAAACAGAAAAAAACAAAAACTTGGATTGGAATCAGTTTCAAATTTTCACATATGTACATAACTACATAAATAATTTTGTTTGGGAATTGGTAACGTGAGGGCCAGTCGACGACCAAAGTGGTCACACATTATGCCAAAGCAATAGTCATACAACGGAGACAAAGCAAACATCTCCGGAGTCAAACAAACACCCAAGAGTCAATTGCAAATCTGAAAACATGAAAAATAAACGCAAACCCCCAACATAAGGAGACGACCGATGCAAGCATACTAAAGACAGACAAAAAAATTCCTACCAGCACTTTGAAGAAGAAAGAAACCTCAGTTAAAAAAAAAAGTAGAAAAAGAAAGAAACCTCAGTTAAAGTTATTACGGACTGTGAGGTTATCGAAGCAAACAAAACATTCAAAGTGCTCTAAGAACTAATTGTTCATTTCTAAATGTCCTTTTGAATTCAATAAAATGCTACAGAATCTCTTCTCGGAAACAAGATCCTTTTGATTCTTCATTCCTCTCTCAGATCTGTCTGAATATACTCTGTTTTACTTTATTGTTCCTTTTAGAAGTGGTTTAGTTCAACTAAAATGCTACATTCTCTCCAAAACAAAAAACTTTGAGAGCTCACTTTTGATTTCTTTATCTCTGCTCTCTTTAGTTATGTTCAGCATTACAAATTCTGAAGAAGAAAAAGAGAACTGTTTTCTTATACTATCACAAAAAAAAAAGATCCAACAGGCCATAACAACACACACACACAAGTTCAAACTTTATTGAGTCTAAACACCATTCTACTTTTCAATCAATCATCACCATAAGCCTTGAAACAATACCGTTCGCTATACGGAGCGTTAAAGAAAAGATCAGCCTCTAACCATTTAGGGTACCGAACAAGATCTCCAGCTAAAAACTGCATATACCTCTTGCTTCCTTCTGGTACAACACGAACCTCTCCTTCTTCTATATAAACCAGCTGATCCACCTGCCAATCCCATGGCAATTTACACTTCCCTGTCTTCCAAACCGACCACCTCGAAACACCAAGCTCATCTAACCGTCTCTGTGACACTTTACGCTCCACTTTAACGTTGTACAGCTCCTCCAACGGTGTCTGCATAGATGTTACCTTAAAGGATCTCTGAACAGAGAGGTTATTCGTTTTCTTGCGTTGAGTGGGAGAAGCTAGGAATGGTGTTGACATTAGCAGACTTGCCATGACTGCTTCTAAGTTAAAGATCTGTGAAAGTTATAAAGAAGAGGGGCTAGAGTTAAACCCCAGATCTTGAATCTCAACATTGTGATATTAAAAGTGATGTGTACAAGTTAATTGTTGTAAAGCATGAGGCTTTATTATCTAATCTTGTGTAATAGCTTATGAATTAATGACACAGAGTGGGTGTAATAAACTCTGGATTTGAGAGTTTTTGGTAATGCCCATTTGCTAATGAGAAATGGAATCTGCACATGACATTGTGATTGTTTCAGTTCCGAACCTAACATGAGTTTGGTTACAAACAGAGCTATATGGGTCGATTAAGCATAAGAAAAATCAGAAAGACATGAAATTTTAACTCAAGAAGCGAGAAAGGTTGTTAATTTCAGAGTATACAGACGGATTCTACTGAAAAATATGGATTCTTTACCTGTGGATGGTGAAAGTGAGTGACTTCAAGAACCCTAAAACCCTGAGCCCAGGCTTATCCAATTCCTAGTTTGATGAAACTATGTAATAACAAAGTGGAGGATATAATAAACATAATTACACAAAGGACCCTAAGTTTTTGATATATTTTAATTTTACACCGGAAGTTTCTTTCTTTTTGCTATTGTTACCCATTGACTCTTTGTTAACTGTTTCACATTCCACTCTGCACAATCTGGGAGTTTTATTGGAACTCATGGCCATTGTGGTTCTGCAAATTCAGCAGTTCAATAGGTTCGCTATTTGTGCATCGATAGGCTCGGACAAGGCGAGTTTAGAGCGAGAGCTCCGACGACAGTGTGCGTTCCAAACACAAGTGGCTCCTTCTGTAACACAGGTCAAGCTTTAGAATGCGTCTTGTAACTGCTACTAAAGTTTCTTCCTTGATGAAGTACATAGGTACTCAACCAACAAAGTATAACAAATATTCTTATAAATGAAGTACATCTAATGAAGTTGGTCTTTTGAAAACATCTTACAGGACAGCAAGAAACCTAGCAAATTGTTTCAAGGGTCAAGCTTTCCCTCACAACGGGGAATAATCTCGTTGGAAGCTTTAATATAGCTGTTTGTGGGGTTACTTTTGGGAACTTTCTTCCCACTGATTTATGTGCAAAGGGTTTAAGAGTTGATGTGGTGGGAGACAAATTAAATCAATGGGGCATATCTTCTAACTTATGATGTGCTTGGAGGAGCTATTGGTTTGTGGTGATTTATAGTTATCAAAAATGGAATAATCTTAAGAAAAGAGATGAAGGAGCTGACTCAAGTCGGAGTTTTAACAGAAGTGTAGACCAGAGAAATAACTGCTGCAAAGTTCAATCAGGCAAAAGCTTCTGGTCAGTAAGCAATGCCTTGGTGCTCTACTAAAATCCATAATGCTTAAGGTGATCTTGAACAGATGTGGACTCGAGAATCTTGGTGATATATGGGTTGAATATTTTTTGACATTTGACTCCTCTTATACTTTGACTCAAAAAGGAAAATAAATGTCCCCTTGTGTTCTGCTAAAGTGATTGAATTTTCTATTTTGTATATAGACCCAGCCCAGCTAGACTTGTGGAGACTGCAAAGACGTTTTATCTCTCTTGGTGGAGTGAGTCATCTTAGAAGAATGCATCCTCATCTGCGATGATTTAGCTGTGAGTTGTTTGATCTCTTTCGAAGAACATCCTAATTAAGAAGAGAATTAGACATATTCTGCTAAAAAAGTTTAAAGGTGGTAAAAAGTTAACACAATGAAGTTTTCCATTTAATTTTCTCTTTGTTAGTTTTACTTATTATCTATATCAATTTCCTATTTTTAATGGATTTAGGTTTTCTATTATACTCTAGCCTCGTCTTATGCGTATAAAATTTGTTTTCTTCACATTATTCAGGGAGGAGAATAATAACAGAGAGCTTTTTCTTGGAAGATTGATCAATGTGATACTTAATTTCTGGCTTGGAACATAAATCAATATGCTCATGAATGGTCTCCAAAACCTGCTAAATCCGCTGCGTGATCTTGCTGTGTTCTTTTCTTCCTTCTCACGTGGCGCTCGACAACAGCAACAGGCAAGCATATATACACAATAAACTTAACTTTGTGATATTCTTAGGGGGTTTGTTCCTACTCCTTTTGTTTTTTTCCACAATTAGTAATGTTACACTTGTCTGTTTCAGATTGAGCATGTAGATGTTTCAAACAAATCACTAGTGAAAGTCCAAGGTAATGGTAACGTCATCCCTGCCAAAACACACGGTGGTCAGTATATGAATGAATTTATTCTTGTCTCTGAAATGGTCTGGTTTCAAGATCTCATGAGATTTGCACCGCCTTTATTGCTCGCTAGTATTCTTATCTCTTGGGCTAGTCAAGTGATAGGAGGATCAGGTACTGTCAAAAGAACCGGTGCTAGAGTTTCCAATAAAAGAGGAGAAGCCACAATAACAAAAGCAGATAACAATTCCAAAGATAAGATTTATTTTAAGGATGTTGCTGGATGCGAAGAGGCTAAACAAGAAATCATGGAGCTTGTACATTTCCTCAAGAACCCTAAGAAGTATCAAGACTTGGGTGCTAAAATCCCTAGAGGTGCACTTTTGGTAGGTCCTCCGGGAACGGGAAAGACCCTTTTAGCGAAAGCTGCAGCAGGTGAAGCAGGTGTGCCGTTTCTGTCAATTTCCGGTTCAGATTTCGTTGAGATATATGCTGGTGTTGGGCCTTCGAGGGTGAGACATCTGTTCAGAGAAGCTAGACAATCTACACCTACCATTGTATTTATAGATGAGATTGATGCCATTGGTCGTGCAAGAGGAGGTGGTAGTGGTAGTGGTAGTGGTAGTGGTAGCTACGAGTATGAAAGCACTTTGAATCAGTTGCTAGTTGAGATGGACGGTTTTGCTACAACCTCTGGAGTAGTTATGGTTCTAGCAGCGACCAACAGACCGGATGTTTTGGATAAAGCTTTGTTACGGCCTGGACGGTTTTCTTGCCAGATAGCCATTGATAAACCGGATGTGAAAGGCCGTGAAGAGATTTTCAAGGTTTACTTGAACAAGATTAAGCTTGATCAGGTGCAGCCGTTGTGTTACTACTCTCAAAAGCTTGCTGCTCTCACTCCTGGTTTCTCTGGAGCTGATATTGCCAATCTATGTAACGAGGCGGCTATTCTCGCTGCTAGACATGAAGGTGATATGGTTACAATTGAGCATTTCGAATCTGCCGTTGATCGTGTTATAGGTGGTCTTGAGAAGAAAAACCTGGTAATATATATATAGCCAAACCAACTTTCCTATTTTTCTTGAAAGCAGAAAATGAATGTTATCTTTTCATACAGGTGATAAGTAAACTGGAGCGACGTACCCTTGCGTATCATGAATCTGGCCACGTGGTTGCTGGTTGGTTCTTGGAACATGCTGAGCCATTACTGAAGGTGACTATCGTACCACGAGGCACAGCAGCTCTGGGGTTTACACAATATGTTCCAAACGAGAACCTTTTCATGACCAAAGAACAGTTCTTCGACATGACTTGCATGACACTTGGTGGTCGTGCAGCTGAGCAGGTAACTAAACTGCCTGTTCCCTTTTCCTTTTTTAACAAAAAAAATATAGCTACGAGGTTCTGAACATGTAGGTCCGTGAACATGTAGGTCCGTACATCCTCCTGTGATCCTATAACCTTTTAGACATCTACAAGATCATCTAAGAGTTTTAACCAATAAGCCACCTTAAATTAAGTTTAATAGAGGGTAAAGACTTTTTGTCAAGATAATGTTTAAACATGTAAGGTCCATTGCAACGCAGGTGTTGATAGGGAGGATATCAACGAGTGCACAGAACGATCTAGAGGAAGTGACGAAGATGACGTACAAGCAAGTAGCTGTGTATGGTTTCAGTGACAAGGTTGGGTTGGTCTCATTTAGAGAAGATTTTTGCAAAGCTTATAGCGACCAAACACGTGCGATCATAGACGAGGAGGTTAGGGAATGGTTGAGGAAAGCTTACGACAAGACGGTGGAGATCATTGAGAGTCACAAAGAGCAAGTGGCTCAGGTTGCTGAGCTTTTACTGGAGAAAGAAGTGTTGCATCAGGATGATATTTTGAAAATTTTGGGTGAACGTCCGTTTAAACCGGTTGAGATGACTAATTATGACCGGTTGAAAGCTGGTTTTGAGAAGTGTGACAAGGAGGAGTTCACTACCACGGTTAAGCATGTTGTGGAGGAAGGAGCTTCTTTATCACATTCATAAATCTTCTTTTCATATTTTCCCTTTTCTGCAATGCTAACTGATCAGTGAAGTAAACAAATGGACGTTAGTCGCGGACCGTGGCCGTAAGGTCCGGTTCTCTTCAATTAAAAAAGCTCAAACCGATGCATATAATGTCTTATATGTTGAGCAAGACATATAAATTTGCTTACATTCTAAAATAAAATAAATGGGAAATTGCTTGGGTGAGAAGTTTGTGTAGAACCGCTAGCTTGTAAAAATTTGGTTCCAGCCGGTATTTTGAAACCTGACCGGAACATCGAAATGGATAACTTCCCAGATTACATCATCATTGAGTCTATCGCAGATGAACCACAGAACTAATAAATTAATTATTTTTATTATATAATAATATATTAGCTGTGAAAATATAAATAAGTTAAATATTTCTTAAATATTGGGTAAAACATAAAATAATAATTTAAATATGTATATATTTTATGTTTTAGAAAATACTAACTTTAGTTTCTATATTTCTTCTCATTTGGCGTATAAAATATCAAAAGTAATTTAGACTATTTAATTTTTTGTAACAAATTAAGAATTTAAGAGTTATACGACATCTAACAAAAAATATCAAGACTTAATATTCATTAATATTTAAAAATCTAATGTGAATAATAAATTTAAATTTAAATCTAAAATAAACAAAAAGTAAAGCATCATTGTAACAAATTGTCAATAACAAAAATAAACTAAAACCAAATCACATCAATTAATTTGGTTTTTTCTATCATCAGTCACTTCATTTTTTTCAGGTGACATAGAGAAATCTTTATTAAAACTTAAAATCACAAATAAAACAGTGTATTTGTATTATCTATGATAAAAATAAGAAAGTTTAATCAAATATAATTAAAAACTAAAAATAGGTGAAAACTATTTATTAGTTCAATCGGTAATCGATTCCGGATTTTAGAGGTTTTTGTGAGTTTTATTAGGATTTTAAATATTGATTTTTCACAAAATACAAACCGGATTCATTTTGGATCACTGAATTTACCGGTTCAACCACGGATCTGGATCAGATTTCAAAACAATGAATCTAACACTAGTTTTTTTCACATCTAAAATTATTTTATTATTTAATAATAACAAATTTGTCCGGATATAACAACCAATAAAATATAAAAGCTTATGAAACGAAGTAGGACTTTTGATCAAAAATTCAACTGTTGAGATTACTTCTTTGTTATCTGCGCCAAAAACTTGAATTGTCGAGTGATGTAGCATGCTGTTCATGATCCAACACTTGGTTGAGTGGTAGAAAATGTACGGTACTTTGACTGGACATGAAAATAGGATTGGTACGTATGGTGGAAAGCTCGTCACCTTCTGGGACATTCCTGCGTTGTCTCCTCATGATAAAACCAAGAAATGTACATGGTGTGCTGTCACTGGTGTGATTTTGCTTGATAAAGGCATCAATGGAGAAATTTTTGATCAGCTTGGATATGTTGATACTGTGCGCACAGTCCCTATCCTTCTGTTCACATATACTCGGGTGTTGTGAGAACTATTTGAGATTATGAATAACCTCTCTTACATATAGTCATTTATTTTCCAAAATATAGTTCTTGGTCAGTTTAGTGTTTTTCTTATACAACACATGCATACATGATTGTCTTTTGAAGTGTCACCACTTATATCAAAGTAACACTATACTTCTATGTTGCAATATTCGCATATCGATACGAATACGACTTTGAGTTAGCCTTTTTGGATTATAATGCCTTGTGCTATAATTGATATCAAGAAAAAAACTATACCCTTTTTCCACTTTCAACTGCATAATAATTTTGTTGATCAAAGTTGATTTTTCCTATTTCACAATAAACAAATGCGCCTTGCGCGAAACATTAAACATGATTAAATTGAAGTCGTGATGAATATAAAATGGGAGCAAATTCATTTGGTGATTTATTCATACTCTCTTTTAATATGAGATAATTTAGTCACGTTAATTTAGATAAAAGCTCGATTTTCGTAAAGTTGATTGGAGTAGTCAGTCTTACAGGCTCATTTTCCATCATCAACCATAAACCAAATCATTAAACCATAATTAGATTTTGACCTGCCGCTTGAGAGCGCGAAAATTTTTTATGATTAAAAATTTATATAATTGGGTTTTGTCTTAATTTAAAGAATGTTTTGGTATAAAATCACTTCACCAAAATTTGTGGTGATGATTGTTTTTCATTAGTTTTTAGTTTCAGTTTTTATTTTTAGATTTTGGTTATTGGTTTTTAGTTTTTAAGTTTCTATTTTTGATTTTCAGCTTTTGGTTTGTGTTTTTAATTTTTAGATCCGTTGAGTTAGTTTGAACTGATATTACCAACAAACAAATCCTAAATAATCGAACATCTACTTTAAAACTGAAAAGATGACAAAAAAATTTGCAATAGTTTATTTTGTAAATAAAAAAAAAGCAAAAAAAATATAACTTGTGTTTTCATCTTTTGGTTTTGAGTTTTGTTTTTAGATTTGGTTTTTGGTTTTGCTTTACATTTTTTTAAATCAGTAAATTATTTAAGAAAAATAAAACAATAAATTATTTAAAAGTTACCATTGAAATTTATCAAAATAAAGTGATTGTTATTTAAAATAAAAAATACATTAACATGTTTTAAAGTACATGATTTAAATAAATGATTAATAATAAACAATTTTGTTTTGTTAAAAATATTAAATACCTTTTGGACCTAAAAATAATAATTGTTTTTTTTTATTTATCAAGAGGGAAAGTTTATTCAATATTTTTTAGAGTGTTTACTTAATACTAAGCCCAAAAACCAAACTATATAATTTGTTCTAAAAACAAAAGTAAGCCCAAGACTATATCCCATAAATAACCATCGGTTTAATTTAAGTAATACGGTTCAATTAATTATATTGCTTGTGTTACATATTTGTAATACTCTAGAAAGGGTTCAAATTTAAATGACAACTTGTATCAGTAGATAAAAATAATGACTCTATTTTAATAGAATAGATTTTCAACATTAACTAATATAATAATTATTTTACCCTTCTTCTCCTGTTTACAAAATAATTAAGCATCAACATCAGATTATACATTTGTCACCCTTTGATATATATTGTTTATATATACTAATGATCCGCTAAAATTGTAAATTATTTTTACCTACGTGTACAAGATAATTTAACAGTGATTGCAGATAAGAGATTAAATTCCTAACTTGCTTGGACGTAGCATTTGGACAGATCTATCAGGCCTTTGCAGCCATTGAAGTTTGTTATTTTCAAGATGAAGTTATTTAAAATAATAGTCTGTTTGACAAAAAGGAACTAGCAGTCTTTTTGGTCAAATAAATAATAGCTACAAAACGAAAATCATCTTTGATCAAACATATCTTTGCTAACTACTAGTATGGTACAATTAAAAAAAAAAACCATGTTATATGTGCTATTTAACCATATAATCATAAATTTTAGAACAAAATTACACAAACTATACAACACTCACTTCTACACACATAAACATCACATGATCAGTTGCAATCGATCTGAATCCTTAAACATACGTTTTGAAAACTCCTAGCTACACCAAGTTATATGGGAGTATGTATACATCACATAAGTATATGTATATATATATATATATATGCTGAGAGACATTTTACATATATTCTCCAGTTTAAAAACAAGGAGAGGGAGAGACGCAAAACAGAAGATAAAACGGAAACTAATATTCTTGGTTGCCGGCATATAAATAAACCCTTTATTTATCGCTTGTTATGCAAAGGGTTTGACCCAGTAGGTATCTTTCTCTTCTCCTGTTTGAATTCTCCAGAGCCGATTACACGTGAGGCATAAGAGTGTGAGAACCCTTTCTCTCTTCTAGAAGGTCCGGAGGAAAAGCTTCGTCTTCCAACAGCATGAGTACTTGGGGCTTTGGAGAAAACACAAACGAGAGTGAAGAGTAGAACAAAGAGGCAAAGAAGTCGAAATCGAATCATTTGTTGTTTTCTTTACTATGTTTTGTTTCTCTTCATAAAAGTGTGTGGAAAACTAAACCAAACAAAAATAAAGGGTGACCTTTTTGAAGAGACGGTTGGGAGGACTATGAGAATTTAATAGATGCATAAACTTCCTTACGGTGTTGTATTTGTTGCACTATTTATTCATGTGCGGACACAGATGGTCCACTCCATAAAAATGTCATTTTCAGAAAGATATTAAATAAGAACCATATATTTTGGTGTGCATAATAACACACGATTTTCGGCTATACCTACATCTTATGTATATTTTTTAGATTTTAATAACTTGTCTAATTTCAACATCAATGAAGATTCATTTAGGGTTATATATTCGCCGGTTTGCAACTAAAGCTTGGAACCGGAAATTAAAGCAAAAGAAGCGAGACGACAGTTCCAACTCGACCCAAAAAGCAACCTTAAAGCAAGCAAATATGAGTACTTGAGTAGAAAGTGATTGAAATGAGAGATAAATGTTTTTCACACTTGCAAACAATCGAGCCTTATATCAGTTCAGATCACATTATGCAGATACTTAATTTGTTAGGGTCACAACTGCTATGTTTAATGTTGAAGTTTGGAGCATTAAACAGGTTTTATAAAAAATTAGTTGGGGGGTACATGCCATGTAAGCTTGGCTGTGCATCTGCCACTGATCACAAATAATACTCAGGGCTGGACACTCACCCTAAAAATTTAAATGAATATTGAATTAGAAAAGATTAGATATTCGAATCCGAATTAACATCCAAAATAACCAAAAATATATATTTAACTAAATATTTTTAGTTTATTTCTCTTATTTTTTAAACATATTCATTTTAATATTATACATGAATTAAAATCAGAATATATATATATATATATATATATATATATATATATATATATATATATATATATTTGGAAAAGTGTTTTACTGCTCATTTACAATGCATGTCAAACTTATATTCCATATATTAACAAAAGTTGCATCCAAAATTAAAAAAGAAAAAATTAAGTTAGTGTCTTTGGTGTTTAAATTTAGTCTTCGAACCTATTAATTGTCCTATTAAAATTAAAAATTAGTTAAACTAAAGATACATTTTAAAATATACGAAATTTAATAATAGAATAATTTAATTTAAAAAAAGATAAATATCTAAATCCGACTCG